AAGGAAGGAAGGAAGGAAGGAAAACTCAACATTCCTTAGAAATAAACTGCTCTGTGCATGGGTAACTGCTTTGCTGAAATGTGAGAAATTGTAACCAATGCATATATTCCTCAAAGACCTCCCAGCTATAGACCTGATCTATGGGGGTGCCAACCAAGAAGTGAACATGAAAGAAGATGGTGTTGTTAGTGGAACAATGGAGGAACTCCTGTTTAACCTGCTCCAAATTATCTAGGGTGAGAGAGACGACCTGGATTCATTCTTCGCCTGTTGATTAATGTAGGATTTGTCCCTGCCCTTTTCTGCACTTCTCACATTATTTCAGGTCATCTATCAAATATTGTTTCCTTTGGATCATCTGAAGAAAGCTACTAAGGGCCACTGCATTACAGGGCTGTTTCTTCTGTCTCTTATTTAGGTTCAGAAAACAGCAGTGGAAGGCGATGGGATGCTCTCCAAGATTTCGTTCTGTCCCTCGTTTTATTTATATGCTGCCTTTGAAGAGACCAAAAGCAGCTCACAATACTTGAAACAATATAATCAAAGACCGTTAGAAACACAATGGCATATTACATTTAAAAACAACACCAAAAAAAATAATAATATTAAAAACGGTCATTTAAAAATACTGAAAAGCACATGCACCATGGATAAGTTAGGAAAAACATGTATATACAACATCCCATAATAGCACTCACTTGCCAAAATCAATTAAAATCCTGCCAAAAAACCAAAGGTATTTGTCTGCAGGCATAAGGCCAGAGGAAGGGGACAAATCCAGCCTTTTGGGTAATGCATTCCATAGCCTGAGAAGGCCTTTCCTATACTCTTTAATCTTCACATGGAATTACTGGAAAGGATCCTGGAGTTCATCACTTGAGAACTGTAGCGTTTCCCTTCCTATATTGTGCTATATTGTCCACATGGCTCAGGAAATGCCCATCAATGGAGCTACCTTCAGCAGAAGTCTTTCCTGTGTCTACTGTAATACAGTAAGGACATGTAATAAGGGCATATGTAAATATTTCAAATAAGAGGAGTCCAGCGACTCTCCAGTGGCCTAGCTCTGTTTAGTTTTCATAAACTAGAAGATTTTCTATTTCACATTTTCCATGGGTACATGGAATCTTCAGGCATTTGCTTTTAGCCATTTTTCAGACGACAACATTTGCCTCCACTATTGTGGCAATTTTCAGAACTGTGGGGCTGTAAGCTAGGTCAGTGACTCTCCCATAGGGAACAGTTTAACATAGTTTAAG